TTTTAACAGAACTTTATTTACACAATTCAAACAATGGAATCAATTATTAATATAAAAATAAGAGTCAGCTAAAAATAATTAAATAAGGAGCTTTTTATATTGTAGTCGTCCTTCACATTAAAACCCCACAGCTGAATAAAATCCTCCATGTTCTGTGGAAGTGAAACTCCAGCCTTATTCTGGCTTTAATCTTCCTCAGAGCGGCTTCAAGGTGAGCTCCCTCCTGCAGTCTGTCTCTACGGGACGAACGGCCATCTTTGCTTCACTTATTAAAAAATGTAAAAGTCGAGCCTTTGGCTTATTTTTCCTATTCAGGTAAACTTCTCCTATAAATGGATCATTTATAAAAACTGCCCCAAAAAGACTAAAAACACAAATTAAAAGGCTGAAAATCGTCATTATGGTCCAGTGCATTCCTTAAAATCCTGGAACACATTTTCAGACAGACCATAGAAAGGAAACTCGTTTAAAACACCCCGATTAATATCCGATAAAAACCAGTTTGTGGCGACGGCGCCGTGTAAAATCCTCCATTGAAGATCACCAGTTTGTTTCTTAACTGGAGGCTTTTATAAAGTCCTTTTTTCTAAAGTTTTTCCGTCCAGATGCAGAGCGGTCGGTTCTGATGGTGTCTTTGGTTGATCATTTTTGTGCAGCTCTGCTAAAGGTCTTTCTGGTCCATATTGGATAAAACTGTCTCTGTGGGTTCAGGATGGAGAGCAGAGGTCTGCTGCGTTCAGGGAAGCAAGGATCAATGAACCGTTAGTGGACATTAAAGCTGAATCAAAGCTTATTTAAGGCTTTTAAAGGTTGCTGTGCTGCAGATGTTCTGACTAAAATGACTTGGCAGCAGCGAGTAACGAGTCCTGAATTAAGCAGCTGGAGGTTTTTAGGGTAATCTGGACAGAAACACGTTCTCCTCTGTTTCCTGTCAATGTTAGCTTAGCCCTCTGATGCCTGCAGTTATTACATGTTTAAAGAAGAAATATTTAAGTTTTTGCATTTAGGAGGAAACCAGATGATGTTGAGGTTGTTAGTTTGACTATTGCACCAAAAATAAACAGATA